CAGGTATCACTGTCTTTGTGCCTATTTGTCCATGATCTCTCATATAGAGAGCTGAAAAGGTAGTGTGGCTTGGATTTAGCTAAATTGTGAAAAAAGAAGTTATTTAGTCGATGAGGTGAAGTAACTGTTCCCTTGCCTGAAATTAGTTGCTTGCACCTTCCTGCTCTGAAATTTAGTAACAGTGTCCTGATTTGATAGGCTACACAATTGCCACCCGGAAAATACATTATAAATCCCTCGGGCAATCAGGTTATGACAGAGAAGATACCTATTTTGATTACAGAAAAATTACCCAGGCAACTATAAATAACTACACATCAAGAGACAGTTCTCTTTACACTTGCTAATTCACATTTTCGGTAGGAAAGACTACGGAGAGGGGAGAACATACTCTATTCTGCAAACTTCTAACAAAAGTCACAGAGTTTACACTTTGAACATTATAATAGTCAAAAAAGGCCATGCAAATTTGAGCTCTACTGGTGCTATATTATACACTGTCAAGCAAATACTTAAAAATCTATGTTCATGTTCTTAGAAAACATAAATTATTAGTATTACTAAAAATAAATAAATAAAAATAAGCAGATAATGCCAACAGTCGAAGCCAAGACAATTAAAAGTCAATGAAGATACTATTCACTAAATGGCTCTTTCAGACACCATAGTTACACCATATTTACCTAATGATACAAATACTGCAGAATGGGACGATAATATTGACAGATTGTTGAAGTTAATAAGATAACAATGACAAAAAGAAAGAAAAAAAAAAAAGAATTGTAGGGGAGTCTAGGGTATGAAGCTTGTACTCCATACCTGCCATTAGCTTAGTGGATGGCCTCTGGCAAGATAACTTAGCATTTGTGTCTAGTAGTCATCAATAATCTACAATATATTTAGAAAAGCTCATTAAATGTGGGCAACAGTATGTGCTTTTTAAAACATCCATTTGCTGTGTAAACAGAGAAGACCTGGGGTCAAGGAGTTACGGAGAAGGGAATTCTTCCCTGTGTATTTTGAGTTTCATTTCCTAGAGAAGTTAGCCATCTGTGATCTGTTCCCCTCCGGAAAGTTTTGAAACCACTCTGCAATTTAGTCAAGTTTACAGAGGCTAGGAGATATTAAATACCTGCTGTTTTTGTAGAAATAGCTGCTCACATAAAAAGAGACTGTGGAATAGTACAAAGGGACAGAGAACAGTGGAATCCAGACTTTACTAATTCTGCTGCTCACAGAGCTACTTGTTAAAATAAAGACACCAAGGTTGCCACCACCCATTTAAGAATAGAAAACCTCAGATTTGTTTGTACAAGGATTGTTTGCACTGGCTAACACAGCTGTTGGGAATAGAATGGTTAGATAAATGGTAGTGATACAGAGTTTTATAAAGATGAGTAGTGTTATTGATTAAAAGCTAAGAGCTGTGGTGAGTGTTTTGTCTGTGAGGCAAACCCATTACTCCAGAATGTCATGGGTTTCCTCAAGAAGTGGGGATCTTGAAGCTTAGTAGTCAATGCATGCGTGTAGTAAAGCCACAAAGAAGCACGTGCATTTGAGGGATCGCTTCAGGGAGCAAAGGATTCTTCTAAGTTGCTTCTTGAGGTGTTCCCAGATGCACACACAGACTATGATGGTGACTATGCTCTCTGCTACATGTGGCCCTGAGATCTTTTTTCAGGCTCAACTTGCATATCTCCCAAACAGTGAATTTTCTCAAATTTGCCTGGTATCTCAAT